CCGTAGCTTGATTCTGTCGGGGTGCCTGTTGGTTCACCTTCCTTCTCTGGCAGTGTGCTTTGTCTGGGAAGCTCCCAGCTGGACGCAGCCGTGCTGCCCAGATCGTCCTGTGCAGTTCACCTTGCTGTCCCAACAGATACCTGGTCCCGGGTCGACACGGTCTTGGGGCCCGAAGGACACTGGCAGCAGTTCGCCTGTTTCTTGGGGCTGAAATGTCTTCGCATCTTGTTGAGTGGAGGGTTGCTGTGATGGATCCCAGCCCTTGCGGGGCAAAGCCGCAGTCCGCATGTGAGGATGTGCCATTGGTGGCACTGAAAGAAAGCACCGCCCCAGGGCCGTTGCCGTCCTTAGAGTCCAAGTTGCACTCGGCCCTCCCGCTCTGAAGTCTTCCAGCTTGCCCTTGGCCTGACGCGCGTTGCGGAGTGCTCTCACTAAGACTCCTCGGTCGCCCCGAGGTTTCAGCAGCCTCTGGCTGCTGTTTGCGAACAGCCTGGCGCCACAGTCCACGTGGGCTTCTGGAAGCCTCAGTCTTAAGATTGCCGATTCTCAGCGTGAGCTTCTCGGCGGATTCGGGCTCCATGCCCGGCGTGGCTCCACGTGGGGGCTTCTCTACTACTAGAGTCCCTTTCCCTTTTTTGGGGTCCCAAGTAGCGGCCCAGAACTTGGAGAATCTCCCCGTGAGCGTCAGAGATTAGCATGACCTGCTCCCGATGAGAGCACAGCACGGTCTCAGGGCCCTTGTCCGTCTAAGGTCTTCGCCGGGTTGTGTTGGATCCGCCTCAGTCGGGAGGCCCCCTAGAAAAACAAGTCTGCTTGCTTAAAGAGGCGCCGGCGACATATTGGACCCCGAAGGTGAGGGTATCGATAAAGACAGGTTTTCCAGGCGTCGTAAGACTGTTTTGGGCAGTGCGCCTTTCGAAATCAATTCCGTGACCCAGAGGTGCCATTTTTCAAAATCACAGGCTATGAGGGACCGATGAAGCAGGGTTCTCATAGTACCCCTAAAGGGAAAGGTGGGAGGAGTATGCACTAAAGAAGGCCCAACACCACACAACATTCATGATCATGGTGACATCTTCGATTCCTGCAGTGCTTGGGCCAATGTCCCACCATCCATGTCCGCTGCTCTCTGGCCTGGTTGCCTGGGCCCCGGAATTTTGCGGGAGGTGCCAGCCAGGTGCAAGTGGACTCTGTGAACTATGGCCCCGCGGGCGTGGCAGCGTCTTATCCGCCAACAGGCGCACAAAGACGTTCCCGAGAACCGTTTTCGTGAGACAGCCACGGGTTTCATCATGATCTGCCAATCGGAGTTCTTCCGCGCGAGCTCCGCTGAGCGAGTCAGAGGCGGACTACGCACTAGCAGCACTGCCTGACAAGACCATGCTCAGCCGATGTCCCATGATGGATGCATGCCCACGTCTCCCTGGCCTGAATACCTGGGCTTCGGGACTTTGCGGGAGGTCCCAGCTGAATGCAGGTGGGCTCTGTGAGTTGTCTACTTTCGGGGGGTGGCAGAGTGCCCGTGCGCCAGGCGCGTAAAGACTGTGCAAACCATGGCATGAGGGGCTGTTTCGGATCGTCGGTGAATCGGACAACTGGCGCAAGCCTTCCTTGACTCTGGCATTTCCGCCATGCTGCATGCAAGCAGGTCTTCTGTATTGTCTGCGGGCCCTAAACCTCCGATAAACCTCAGCCGTTGAGTCGTGGCCAGGTGGGTCGGGGGGATGCAAAGGGCGCCCGCTCACACACACTTCAGGCACTCCAGGTGAATCAAAGATGGCAGCTTCGTGTCCTCTTACAATCATATCAGCCCCGTGGACCGTTCAACGATCCGGGGGCGGGCGCGGCACCCTAAAGCAGGTGCAACATTAACCGACATCGGGCTTCTCACCGCTTTTAACGGCAAAGGGGGCACGCAGCAATTCTCGCCGCAATCCGCCGTGGCAGCTGCGATGCACAGAGAGGTTCTGAAGATTTCTGATGGCGACCGGTGTCAACCTCAGATTGCGCCCCAGTCAGGATAAAGCGCGCTTGGGTCACTCGAGCCCAGTCGCCCTCTTGGGCCTCGGCTTGGATCAGTCAAGCCCCTTTGCGGCCAGAGTGTTTTCTTGGCCGCGCTGCATCTCGGCATCTCTGGCAGGCCTGCTGACGCCTTGCCCGACTTGCTCGAGGATGGGGTTTTTAGGCTCCTTGGAGGCCTCGGACTCGGACTGGCAGCTGTTTTCAGCAAAAAGTCCGCGCCGCCTGCGGCCAAAGCTACGCAGGCCCCATATGGCCTTCGGACATCTTGCGCATTCACGAGCACTGCTCCCCCACCTAGGAGTGAGCCTTGTTCATGTCTTTGCATGGGGACCACGCCTAAGCTGATGACTTGGCGGGGCAAGTCTTGGCCTAGCCTGTTAGTTCACCTCTGCCTGGCTGTTGCGTTCGGGCGAAGAAGCGTCTCGCAATCTCAGCCCCCCTAATGTTGCATGCGGCTTACTAGGGGTCCCCCCCTATAGCGGTGAAGCCCGCGCAATTAAGTCAAATCGTCACGTGGTAAGAAAATTCCGTGCGGGGCGCCTTTAAAATCAATTGCCGGGCCTCGCTGCCCCGACTAAACTCATCTCAACGCCTCCACAGCGCCGGTTCCGAGATGTAAGGAGTCCTTCCGAGTGTGCCTCGTTTCTCCCCTTTGGGGGACACAGAAGCCTCTCATGACCGGTTGCCTCAAGCAAAGTTGCTGAGTCAGTAGCTGGAACATTGAGAGCTCAGCAGCCTGAGCGCGCAAAGGGGCGCCTCACAACTTGAGCCCCCATAGACTGCAGATGCAGGCAGGCGCCCCTGCACACGGAGCAGCTTCGCATGTCGCTCTTTCTACGGGCCTCTCAACTTTTCAGCCAGCAAAGCCGGTGACCGAGTGGCTGTAGAGCGAGTGTTGCGGATGCTCCTCTCCTCCCGGAAGGTTCATGTCTCCGCCAGGACGTGCAAAGAAAAAGTGGCCTGCTTGGCCATCGTCCCACTCCACAGTGCAACTCTAGCTCCCCAAAAGCCTTAAGGGCTTCTACCTGCTTGCATCCTGTCCCTGCCAGGGTCCGGACTGGACTCTTGTGCATGGGATAGGAGGGTTTGGGGTCGTTAAAGGGCTCTTAGCGATCATTTCAGACACTTGCGCCTGCTGCACCCGCAGCGTTTCTGCGTCTGAGGATGTTCGAGTTAAGTCAAGGGCGATCCTTTGGCAGAGTTTGGGTCATGTGCCTTCAGCTCGCCACCGGACCAATTCCGAACCTGGTTTGGGGTCTGAAAATACGAGGCTTGCCTCCAGAGCATCACCACGCTTCACGCTGTTTACAGGCCTCTCAGCTTTTCAACCAGTGAAGCTTGTGAGTGAGTGGAGGCTGTAGAGAGTGCTGCCGATGCTTAACTTGAGCAGTGGAAGAGCACTCGCTTTCTGACGACGGACGGCAGCTGACGAACTCGAGGTCCCGGACCCTCTCAGTGAAATTTTGCCATCTCACCGGACCACGTCGAGACGCTAAATAAAAAACGTGCCGCAAAACAAGCACTTCACAACTCCTAGCAAAGGAGCGTCTCGCAATCTCAGCCCCCAGAGCCTTCAAACAGATGCCAGCTCGCTCGCTCACAGCGCATCTTCGCATTTCACGTTGTCAGCTTGTCAGCCGTAAAGCTCCTGTGAGCGAGTGGAGGCTGTAGAGCCGAGCTTTGGGGATGTTCTTAGAGGTTTCCAAGCTTCTCAATGTCTTGATACCATCGAGCCGAGCTTTCTTGATATCGGGCTTCTCGCCGCGTTTAACGGCAAAGGTGCCGCGCCGCACTTGGGGCCGCCATCTGCCATGCAGAGAGGTTCCGTTGATTTCTGACGGCAACCGGTGTCAACCTCAGATTGCGGCCCAGTCACTACAAAGCGCTCCGTTTGGGTCAGTCAAGCCTCCTCGCACAAGCTGCCGCAGCGCCAGTGAACAGTGTCAACTAGCTGGATATACGCACTGCTTAACTCGAGCAGCGGAAGAGCATTCGCTTTCTGACTACAGACGGCAGACCGACTCGGGGGCCCGCATGAAATCATAGGCCCGGCAAACGATGAGCTCGCCTGACCCAGCCTGGGGTCTTGTGATGTGCTTCCTGCCTAGGTCAGGGCATGCTCTGAGCAGCTCGCCGCATTTTTTCTTGCGGAGCGCTGCAATCATAAGATGCCAATAGCCTTTCCTTGTACAACCCCCGGGGCCCTGCATTGGCCCCACAGACTTCCTCACGAATCCGGTCGTTGAAGAAGCAGCTGCTAGGCTCGCAGCCTCCGTCTGGGTCCATCAAGCTCAACTTATGGATAGGCCTTGCGTGGCTTAAAACGGCAGAAGCCTGAGCAACTAGTGCAAATCAAGGACCTGCTCTCGGCTCTGCCTCTTGTGCTGAGAGCGCCCCAGCCCTAGCGTGCAGCTCCGCTCGCCCGGTGCTCGCCTGTGTGTGAGAAGCGAGGGCTTTGGACTCGCAGGACAGCGTAGCTTACTACATTTCACAACTCCTAGAAGCTTCCAAGGCTTGTTCTCTTCTCAACGTCTTGATGCCGCGTAGTTCACACTAGACTACACAGGCCTCCAACAGACTTTCAACACACCACCGAGGCTGCTGAGCGTGTTGCGATTGCTCCTCTGCAATACCAGAAACAAGCGTATTGCGGTTTTCAGCGCCTCTTTAGAAAAAAGTGTGCCGAAAAGCAAGTAAGTAACCTCGGACATTCATATGAGGTCAAGTTTGATGGCCAAGTTTGACGCTCACAGGGCTCCGGCTTGGCAGATGAGTGGGGCGGATTGATGTCGTAAGCTGCCGACACGCGCAGCCATGGCTTAGAATGCTTAGAAGCTGTGAGGGGCTTTATGAAATAGCATGGGCCCGTCAAGCCGGCTGGAAGCGAGGTTTTCCAGTTCCGACTCCCAGTCTGGTTTGAAACAGTGACGCATGCGAGGTTCCGGGGTCACAGGGGTCTTGAACGACGCCGAAGTCTCTCAGCGGAGCTTCGCCACGCTGCTTGCAAGCCTTGCAAGCTGAGGCCTGACAGAAAGTCCAAGCACCTTGTCCAGAGCCAGCCGAGCGACGTGCCCACTCGCTGCGACACAGCGCTCCTTCACCAGGGTGGTTTCCGACCCCCCTGAGGGCCTCTTGTAGAGTAAGGTGATAAGGCTTAAGGGACTTCCAGCTTCGGCTAGCCAGCGCTGTGCAAAGCCATGAACCCCAACCTCCGACGGCCTTGCCAGCGTTGCCAGCTGATGCCACCCCGGGCAACAGGGATACATCTGCTTCGCCTCAGGCTCGTGGTTGGAGACGCCATGTGACGCAGCCTCTGTGACTGATGATGCTGCCCTGGTTCTGTGTAAGAAGTCCCAAGGAGTCCCTCCCATCGCCTTGCCCCAAGAAGAAATCCAACACGTTTATAGGTTTGAGAGTCTGGAGCGTGGATCCGCGAGGGCTCCGCGCATTTTGGCAATCACCTCTGAAGTCGAATTCCGAGCTCTAAGTGCATGGATGCAGATGGAGATCAGAATCAGGTACCCAAAGCTCTAAGCCATGCTTCGTGCATTCTGCATCAGATGCCCAAGCTGACTTTGTATCGGAAAACCCGCTCGACCAACTTAACACGCAGCTTGCTGCAGTGCAACGCAGGCGTCCGTGGAAGCGGTCAAAATGCTGTGCAATGTTTTTCGATCTCTTCATCTACTGGTGCCTTCGCCCATTGCACAGCTTGCGCTGACACTTCGTTGTGACGCTTCGGGTTGCCGAAGCTGCTGTCCATCTGCCTCGCTGGCGTCACGCTTGATGCAGCTGGGCGCACGCAGCTTTGGCCACAAAAAGCATGGGACTCACAAAGAAAGGCGGCTTTCGGTTATGAGTCTCAGTTGCAACATCTCTAAGGCATTCCTTGAGCATCCTTGCCGATCTCAAAGCAACTCCCTGGCAGAAGCACAGGACCCAGTGCTGTCAAAGGCAAGGAACTAGAAGTGCTGGTGCTTCGGACATGCTGGCCGGGAGCTCGTCCTCATTCGAGGCAGGCAAGTGCTGCCTTGCAGGTACGTCTGCAACCATGCGGCGTGCGAAGCAAAAGAATGTCACATGCGAGATTCTTCTGCTCTTTGTGGGAAGGAGCGCCAAAGAAACATCGCCAAACAACACTAGCGGGTTAACTTGTTCTTTCCAGAAATACCTTGACATAATTGGCGAGCGTGCACGATTCCGGGTCGCCACTCCCAACGACCTCCCTTCCCTCCTCCGGCTCATCTTCGGCCTCCCCTTGGGTCTATCAAGCCAAATGGGCACGAGATATCAGGATCAAGGCATGGGGATTTGAATTTCTTATATTTGAGATTAATGGTGAGCTTGATCCGGAGGGGGATCGTATCTTTAGCATCAGAAGTCGTGTGGTGGGACGTATCAAATCTTGAAGGGATATCTTTCGTTCATATTTCAGAGATATGTCCATATTTATTTTGAGACGGAGCCGAAATGGAGATGATAATCGAGAAAGGAGCAATATCGGCCTTCTTCTGATTGTATCCAATATCATATTGATGGATGATTGGTTGTGTTTTCTCTTTCTCTGAAGGAAATGGTTTGATCGTGTTTGCGGGCGCAGGTATTGATATGATCGATTGTTCTGATGGTGTCAAAGAATGTCTGATATTGAGGGTGTTTGATTCGTTCTTCGGTTTCGTATTGATTATATTTCTTGATCTCATTTGGATCGTCTTCTTTTGATATGATCTTATATTTTTTGACGTAATTGGGGATGGAGGTGGATGTTA